GAAAAAACTTACTGAAGCATGGCGCCGGGCGAGTTTTACTGTATTCAGTTTGATTAGGCATAGATTTGCGCATTTTATTTTATTTTGCTTGCTTTGTTTTGTCTGTTACTACTTGGAACCACTTAAATCCTATTTTCTGTATTTAATAAAATCACTTTTTATTTAGTAATTTACTCAGAGTATGTATTAATACCTGGGGGAGCAAACAGCTGTGCATATCTCTCTATCAGTGTTCTAGAGGGCAAACAATTTATGAGTTTGCCCTGCATAAGCTTTATGCAGGGTAAAATGGATTTATCTGGGTTTAGACCCCATTGGGAGTTGGGCATCTGAGTGCTAGAGACAAACACACTTCTGTAAGCTGTTTTCAGGTAAACTTGCAGCTTTGGGACAAGTGATTCAGACCCTGGGTCTGTGTTGGAGCAAGACAGGAGGGTCTGTCTCCGCAAGACAGGATGCTGGAGTCCTGAGCTGGCAGGGAAAACAGGAACAGGGGTAGTCTTGGCACATCAGGTGGCAGCTCCCAAGGGGGTTTCTGTGATCCAACCCATCACAAGAGGTATATAAAATGAGTGATGTGGAGAAAGTGGATAAGGAAAAGTTATTTACTTATTCCCATAATACAAGAACTACGGGTCATCAAATGAAATTAATAGGCAGCAGGTTTAAAACAAATAAAAGGAAGTTCTTCTTCATGCAGCGCACAGTCAACTGGTGGAACTCCTTACCTGAGGAGGTTGTGAAGGCTAGGACTATAACAGAGTTTAAAAGAGAACTGGATAAATTCATGGTGGTTAAGTCCATTAATGGCTATTAGCCAGGACGGGTAAGGAATGGTGTCCCTAGCCTCTGTCTGTCAGAGGGTGGAGATAGATGGCAGGAGAGAGATCACTTGATCATTGCCTGTTAGGTTCACTGCCTCTGGGGCACCTGGCATTGGCCACGGTCGGTAGACAGGATACTGGGCTAGATGGACCTTTGGTCTCACCCGGTACGGCCTTTCTTATGTTCTCATGTTGTAAGCCATTTTAACCCTTTCAGGGGTGATGTGGGATGAGTTCAGTCCATTGTCCATTCAGCTGTTCAGAAAAGGACAGTACCCACAAAACCCACTGTGCAGAGCATCTTCTTTGTGCTGGTTTTATACTGTTCCATAAAGCAGGCTGTGCCTGCTTCTGACTCAGAGCTTGTCTACACTTACAGCACTGCAGACAGTAGCACAGCTGCACCACTGTAGCACTTAGTGAAGACACTAGCTATGCTGAGGGGAGAGCTTCTCCCTGACAGGTGGTAGCTACGTTGCTGGGGGTTAGGTTGGTATAACTACCTCGCTCATGGGGGGTGGATTTTCAGCTAATGTCCCATGTCAGGTGGCACCACTAGCAGCCACCGTCTTGAGAGTCAGAGTAGCTGAAGCCCTTCACTTATAACCACACTATATAGGGGACTAATAGTGTGTGGAAGGATGAACTGGGGTTAAAACACTATACAGGGATTCAGGCGAGCTGAGTTCAATTCCTGGCTCTGCCACAGACTTTCTGTGTGATCCTGGGCAAATTACTTACTTGCCCTGTGCCTCCATCTATAAAATGGGTGTAATAACACTTCCTTTCTCTGTTTAGATCAGCATTTCTCACATGCAGCCACCAGGGGCTTTTCTTGCTGCCACAGCCTTCTGGGTGGTTATTGGGGTGGGGGCAAAGCAGTGGCCCCTCTCTGGAGACACAAAAGCTGGAGGAGCAGGTAGCCAGTGAGTTCCCCACCTTCCCAAGGGTGGTGGGTCAGGCTTCATCCCTGGGGTGGCAGGTGGCAGATTCCAGCCCCAGAGCTTTGGGCTCCGTTCCCTGAGTTCATCACTTCTAGCCCCCACTGCTTCCCCTAGTGCCCCACTGCCCCTGGCTCCCACTGTCTCCATACCCACCTCCCTATCCAGGGCTCAGTTTGTCCCTGGGATTGCCAGGGCTAAATAAGTCTGCCGCGAAAAGTGATATTTGTGTGTTAGTTAATATCACTTTTCACAGCAGACTTAGTAGCTAGCAAGTCTAAAAAAAACAAAAACCAAAAAAAGACAAAAGAAAAAGTAAAAAGACAAGAATGTGCAAAGCACCTTATTTGTGTTTCTATTCTGTTTAGGTCCAGTAGGAATAGAGACAACTGTACATTATTTTTATTATTGAGTCTGCTAAAAAAAAAACCCTACATAAATAAATGACAATGATTTGGACATGGATATGTGCATATTCATTTGTTTTTCCTAAAGTTAATTGAGTATTTTAGGAAAAATTGTCAGAGCAGCCACCAGCAAGAGCTGGTGGTTGCACTCTGAGGCCACCAAAAAATTTGTTGTGAGAACCCCTGGTTTAGACAGTAGGCTCTTCGGGGCAAGGACTGTGCCTAGGACAATGGGGCATCTGTTGGGATCTCGAGGTGACACTGTAATATAAATAATTAACAGTAACAGAGGTACTGTAGATATTTCTTGCTACCTGGAACTCCAGGAAAGGCAACAGAACAATGCAATGGGGAAAGGCCCGTGCCTGCCATTTGTACAGCTAATGTTCAGTTTGCTCCTCTTCCTGGGTATTTTGTACAGCATCAATAGAAAGTGTTTCAAGATTTAAGGATCCCCTCAAAATGTAGTTTGTCAAAGGGAAAGGTGATGATAATCCTCCAGAGCCTTAAATTCCAGAGATTCCCAAAGCAGGTTACAAAATATAAACATTGCATCACCCATTACTTTCAAATACAGCCAGTTTTGGAGTGGAGGAACTAAAGAGGAAATGCAGTAAAGAGAAGTTTTACATTCAGTACAGGCTGTACATTTATCCCCTTTAGTTTACAGGATAGAGGCCTGGGCTTTGGTGCCCAAAGGTTTGAGTTTTATTCCGTCTGACAGCCCAGGCCAGAGATCATGAGAAAGTGATGGGTATGGGATTTTTACTCCTATGGACCTCAGATACTCAGAAGAAGCTCCCCCTGACAGTCGGAGTGTATAACACACTGGCTAGGTGGGTCATGTCCCCTTCAAATGGCTGAGCCACACAGTGGTTAAGAGCTGATTCGTACCTGCTAAGCGGTCACCCCTTTAGTTCAAATGGCAGAGGTCTGTGCTTTGGAACAAAAAGGTCCCAGATTCTGTTCCCATGCTGGGAGCCAGTTTTTGTGTACTTCTGATCAAGGGAGGAGGCTGTTAAAAAACAAAAACAAAGAAAAGGACATCTGCTTAAGGGGGATAACAGGCATTGGACAGGCACATCCCAGTTAGGAGGAGTCCACCTTACTAAACAGGCAAGAATGGAACTATCAGTAACACTAGTTGACAGATGCTAACATCCAGGCACCGTGCATCACTGCCCACACTAGAGGGAAGCTGCAGCTTTAAGCACGAGCCACACCCAGCTTTTGCTGCAGATTTTTTTCCCCCTCTGATGATGATTCACCAGCTGTTCTGGCTCCCAATACTGCTGGTGCTGTTTACTTCAGGTTTCCTACGTCTCTGCTAAGCAGAGGTTTGCATTTTTATGTTACCTACAGGAAAGCAGACGGCAGCAAAACCCCAGCAGCAGCGGGAGGAGGCAAACATGTCTGGGATTGCAGCTAAATTAGCTAAGGAGAGGGAAACAGCCAGGGGCTTAGGCTCCAACGCAAAGGCGTTTAAGTACCTCAGTCAGGACTTTGAGACGCTGAGGAACGAGTGCCTTCAGGCAGGGAAACTCTTCCAGGATCCATCCTTCCCTGCGATTGCCTCTTCTCTGGGGTACAAGGAACTGGGACCAAACTCATACAAAACTCAGGGCATCACGTGGAAGAGACCAACGGTAAGAGACCTGCGTGATGGGCCCCATGGGCAGCAGGGAGGAGGGGGAGAGAAGGGGGCCAATGTAAAGCACAGGGCAAAGCCATGCCATTGTCAGGAATAGCTGTGCAGACTTGGCTGTGGGGGGTGGCTGCCGTGGTAAGGGTGGGCTTTCCCCTTGCCCCCATATCCAGGAGAAGTCCTGGGGGGAGGAAGATATTTCTAAACGAAAGAGTCAAAGGATACTTTCTATAAAAAACTAAACTGGATTTTTCAGTGCATCATGACAGCACGAGAACTGCAGATGGGCCCAGCCCCCCCGATCTTAACCTCCAATCTCTGAATTTTAGGGAGGGATCTGCTCTGAATTTTGCATTAGGTCCTTCTCTTTACTAATGAGCCAAACCCAATCCCTGGGATGTGACTGCCCTAAAGTGGTTGGGGATTTGGATCAGGAGCTACATTTATTGGCTTGAGACCATCTTTAGCAGGAAGAGAGATTAATTTACACCTGACTGGGTTATAGAAACTGTTACTCTTAAAGGGAGAGGGGGAAGTCGGGTGGATTGGAGGTCCCTGGCTCGGGAGGATGAATGCACTCTTTCCAAGCTCAGCACACACAGCAGTGAAAGCCTGTCTGTTGATTGAAAACTTTTCCCCTATCCCATAGAGAAGAAAAGACATTACTGGTTCCCAGAATAGCAGCACGCTGCTAATGGACCAAGGGGGGCACCTCCGAGCTGCATGGTGCTGTCATGCAGCCAAGACATGAGGGAGCACAAGCAGGAAGTTAATGGTTCAGTGATGTGTAACAGGCAAAGCTAAAAAATTCCAGCCGTTCAGTTTGGATTTATTCAAACCTCTTTGGTCTAGAAAACTAGCTGGAAGGTTTGTGGGAACTGTGGGAATTTCTGGGCTTGAAATGCTGAGGCACAAAATTGAACAGGAAGGTTAAGTGAAACTCTTTTTGAACGTCAAAGAGATTCAGTCCAGTTCAAGGGCCAGAGTCACCTGGTGTAAGGCCGGAGTAACTCCAGGGGAGTCAGGGGAGCTATATTGATACAAACTTGGGCCCTGATCTTCCTCTCACATCGATTTCATAGTTATGCCAGATATCTTGCTTATCTTGAGTTCGATACAGGAAATATTTTTACTTTTAAGACAGGAGCCAGTATTTAAGCCAGCCAGAGCCATGGCTGGTTTTCAGTGCAAAACTCCATGAAGGGCAAGACACAAGAATCTGCATTCACATTCCATTGCCCTCCCACTATGTTTTTCAGTTGAAGACAGCTTTTTTTTACATGTAATAGTGCCAGTGGGCTGTTATCAGCTGTTAGTTGACTTGTTTGTTTGCATTCCCAATCTACCTAACTAATTCAGCATGGTTTGTTCATATCAAACAGGTGTAAACAGGCATGAATTCATGTCCCAACTCTCACACCATCCCCACCCTGAGATCCACAGCCTACAGCTACACAGGTCTCTTGTGAAATATACCTGTCAAGTTTTGGAGTTGTTACAATGGATTCTGTCCCCATCACTACCTATTTCTTTTCCTTCTCTTCATCCTACTAATGTTGCTTGCTTCATTCTTCATTTTCCAAATCACGTGATAGTCTTTCCCCCTTTAATGTCCCTATTTACACCCCTTTCCTCTCCAGATATCCTTTCCTCTACTCTGACTGATACAGGAAGGTTATATTTTCCTGCCAGCTGTCTAGCATCCCTTACCACTTAGGCACTAAACAATCTTTTGTAGACTTATAGCTGAATAAAGCTAGTCAAAGCTTCACTCTGATTTCTGCACCCTTTGCAAAGAGCTACATTCATCCTTTGTGTAGTAGGAACTCCTTAGGGAGGAATTTGGCTCAAAGAGGCCCCAAGGAACATTGAAACAGCTCCAAAAACAAATGGAAAAATCCTTCAGGGGTAAGAGCCAAACAACTAGAGCCCAATCAATATGCTATTTTATGAAGGGGCTGGTCACCAAGGCTCTGTTTATTCAGGGAACCCGCTGTGGGGTGGCTGACACTGTACAAAGTTTTCTCTGCTGCTTATGTTTTGCCTTCGAGCCTACATCACCTCTGCAGACAAGCATGTTTGCTTTGGGTACCATTTTGATCTGTCACCACAGAAAGCTGCATTTCTTAGCACAGGGATGAGTTGTCCAAGACATGGAGGTTGTTCTATACAACATGCCACTCGGCCTTCATCCCTGGCAACGTAAAGCAGCTGGCGCTTACTCCGCAATTGCCAAGCACCCATTCAGATCCCAGCAGAGTCCTCTCAGCTGTTAATCCTTCCAAGGTAGATAGGAGTTCTCCGCAATTAACTGTCTCAAGGTCCTTCAAAGATTAGGCATTAAAATCTTGTATGTATAGGCCTCAAATTGTGCCTGTTGTAAAAACAGATATTTGCCCTGGTTTTCCTTGGCCATGATTTCCCTTCCCCATTGTTGTGCTGTGTTGGTACACTGACCCCCTCGCCCAGCTCTGCTCCATTCTTGACACGGTGGTATCCTCTCTATGTAATGGTTTTGATATGCTTTGCAATGGAGGGGGCAACCATAATTAAGGGTACATTTTAGTCCTGGGTATTCTTAGTAAAAGTCATGGACAGATTATGGGCAGTAAATGAAAATTCATGGCCTGTGACCTGTCCATGACTTTTACTAAAAATACCCCTAACTAAAACTTGGGCCAGGGACCGCGGGTGCTCTGTGGGGGCAGGCTGCAGGTGCTGAGGGGGAGGTGGGTGGCAGCTCATGGCCCAGAACCCCCGCTGGTGCTGTGGGGGAGGGTTGGCGGAGCTGGCAGCCTCCCTACACAGCTCTGACTAGCATGTCCCTGCAGCTCCTAGGGGGAGGGGCAGCCGGGGGGGGGCTCCGCGCACTGCTCCTGTCACAGTGCTGGCTCTGCAGCTCTCATTGGCTGGAACTGCAGCCAATGGGAGCTGTGTGGGCAGCACCTGCAGGCGGCATGCTGAGCCCTCCTGGCTGCTCCGCCTAGGAGCCAGAACCATCTCCAGGTTTTTTGCCGCCCCAGGCGCGCGCGCACACACACACACACAAAAAAAGGGGGGGGGCAGTAGAGTGCCGCCCCAAGCACATGTTTGGGAAGCTGGTGCCTAGAGCCGGCCCTGCTAGGAGCTTCAGGGACATGACGGTGGGAGCCTCCCCCCACCCGTAAGCACCATAATGCACCCCAACCCCCTGCACACACCCAAACTGCTGCTGCTGACATGTATCCAAACTGCTGCTGCTGCAGAAGTCACAGAATCCGTGACTTCTGTGACCTCCATGACAGACACGCAGCCTTAATCATAACACACCGTGGCTGCAAACATACAGAAACTAAAGTTGTCAGTAAGGAACAGACTTGGGATCTCTAGCATCTTAAGTACACTGCCTATTTATTAAGTACTTTATATATTTCATTCCAGGAGCTGTGTTCTAATCCCCAGTTTATTGTTGGAGGTGCCACCCGCACAGATATCTGCCAAGGAGCCTTGGGTAAGACAGAAATCACCTGTTTGATTTTCAGTTGTGGCACCTGTTAGTGTTTCATGATAGACTCTTAAATAACTGTTTAATTCTCTCTCCGGTTTCCACCCCCTTGCCTTTTGCCATCTCCCCTTGTATTGTTGATCATGTTTTATCTGACCTTCGTTGAAAGCTCCTCCAGATTGGATTTGGTTTTCTTTGTCCATTGTATGCAGCACCACTGTCTGAATTAATAAT